ACTACTACTACTACTACTACTACTACTACTACTACTACTACTACTACTACTACCACAAGCAGAAACAACAAATGAAGACAAAAGGTAAACTAAGGCTAGCAAGCAACAACCAATCAGAAGGACATTTCAACGACAGAACTCTCGTCTTACAATCTAAACAATAATCCCTTAGCTTAAAATGTCTACCCTCTAAATGTCTAAAACCCTACACCAACTAACTGTGAACAGCAGAATCGATCACTATTGTGAACGTTCACGACCGACAGGCCTGAATTGTGTGACTGAAATTCGCTGGGCTGAAGGAACCAATCAATACTTACTAAAGGTTTCCGTACCTCAGACGTCCATAGAAGTAGATTTAATTGCCTGAAGGCACATAAAACGTTCCCATTGGAGAAAAAAAACGTTGAATCTTTCTGTTATGTTTATTTTGTTTTGATCCTTTGAACGAAGCCGTTCCAGAATTTGAAGTCGCGGGTGATAGAGCAAAGGTCAAGGGGCACGGGTGGGGAGCGTGGAAGAGAGAGAGAGAGAGAGAGAGAGAGAGAGAGAGAGAGAGAGAGAGAGAGAGAGAGAGAGAGAGAGAGAGAGAGGGGGGGCGGGGAGAGGGAGAAGGAGAAGACCATCGAAGGGAGAAGAAGGTTTGTATGGTAGAATCTTTCTGTACTGCACAATTATGAAGAACCGTTGTGGGCAACACACGACCAATAGTCTCCCGAAACTATACGTACGTACGTACCTTGGACATATGTTGACTATTGGCACACACGACCAATAGTCTCCCGAAACTATACGTACGTACCTTGGACATATGTTGGCTATTGGCACACACGATCAATAGCCTTCCGTAACTAAACGTACGTACCTAGGACAATAAATGTTGGCTATTGGCACACACGACCAATAGTCTTCCAAAACTATACGTACGTACGTACCTTGAACAATAACTGTTGGCTATTGGCACACACGACCAATAGCCTCCCGAAACTATACGTACGTACCTTGGATAAGCACGGGATAACGACACAAAAAACTGGAACTAATAAGGAACCTGTACATAGCTTCAAGCAGTAGTAGTAGTAGTAGTAGTAGTAGTAGTAGTAGTAGTAGTAGTAGTAGTAG